GTTTATACACATTATGTATAAATTTTTACACACTATATACAAATATTATATAAACTGTGTATAAATATTATGCACATTATGTATAAATTTTTACACACCGTCTACAAGTATTATATACACTATATTATATTGTGTGTAAGTATTATACACATTATATATAAGTTTGTACTTACCATACATAATACATAGTGTATAAGCATTATACACACTTTATATAAGTTTTTATTTATTGTACAAGTTTGTACACATTGTGTACAAATTTATACACCTTGTTTATAAGTATTGTATCATCTATGTATAAGTTTGTACACATTATGTATAAATTTATACACATTATAAATAAATTTATAAATAATTTATACAAGCATTATACATACTATGTATAATCATTATATACACTATGTACAAGCATTGTACATAGTGTGTACAAGTTTATACACATTGTGTATAAATTTGTACATATTATATATAAGTATTATACACATCATGTATAAGTTTATAAACACTATATTCAACTTTGTACACGTTGTGTATCAGTATTTTATACACTGTGTAATCACATTGTACACACTATGTACAAGTATTATACACATAATATATAAGTTTATGCACACTGTGTATAAGTTTGTACACATTGTGTATAAGTTTATACGTATTATGTACAAGTATTATGCATATTGTGTACAAATTTGTACATATTATGTACAAATATTATACACACTATACACAAATTTGTATACACTTTGTATAAATTTGTACATATTATGTATAAGTTTGTATATATTATATACAAATATGTACAAGTTTGAACATACTGTAAAAAAATATTGTACACAATATATTTAAGTTTATACATACTGAGTACAAGTATTATACATACTATATATAAATTTGTATATATTATGTATAAGTTTATACACATTATATATAAATTAATATATACTGTGTATAAATTTATACACATTGTATATAGCGTTATACACACTGTGTTCAAATTTGTACATACTATATATAAGTATTATACACACCGTGTACAAGATCGTTTACACTGTAAAAGTTTGTACTCACTATGTACAAGAATTTTACACACTGTGTATAAGTTATTGCACACTGTCTACAAGTTTGAACATATTATGTATATATTTGTACACTATGTGTATATGCATTATACGCATTGTGTATAAATTTGTACATAATATATATAAGCATTGTATATACTATGAACAAGTATTATACACACCGTGTACAAATTTGTACACAATGTGTATAAGTTTGTATACAATATACGAGTTTATACATATAGGGTACAAATATTATACACACTACGTATAAATTTGCACACATTTTATATAAGTTTTTATACATTGTGTATAAGTTTGTGCACACTCTGTATAAGTATTATACATATTGTGTACAAATTTATGTAAACTATATACAAATTTGAACATACTATATGTCAGTATTATACACACTGTGTGATAACATTGTACACATTATGTACAAGCATTATATACATTATGTATAAGTATTATACACAATGTGTATAAATTTATATAAATTATGTATAAATTTTTAAACACTATAAATAAGTATGATATACACTAAGTATAAATTTGTATATATTGCATATAACTATTATATAAACTTTGTACAAGTATTGAACATACTTTATACAAGTTTGCACACACTATGTACAAGTAATATATACATTACGTACAAGTTTGTATAAACTATTTATAAGCATTATACATTCAGTGTACAAATTTGTACAAACTTTATATAAGCTTATACACCTTATGTATCAGTATTATACACATTTTGTACAAGCATTATACACACTGTGTATAAATTTGTATATAATGTGTATAAATTTGTACATAATGTATAAAAATATTATATGCACTGTGTACAAGTTTATATGCAATGTGTACAAGCATTATACATACTGTGTATAAATTTGTAAACATTATGTATATGTTTATATACATTATGTACAAGCATCGTACATATTATGTATAAGTATTATACACACTTTATATAAGTTTGTATATACTGTATACAAGCATTGTACACACTATATATAAGTTCAATTACACTGTGTACAAATATATATATACTATGTATAAGATATATTATGTACAAGTATATATAAATTTATACACTCTGTAAAAAATTGTATATATTATGTATTATATCCTAAAGCATTATACACATAATGTACAAGTTTGTACACACTAAGTATAAGTATTATACATATTGTGTATAAATTTATACATACTATGTATAAGTTTGTATGTACAAGTTATACATAGTATGTAGAAGTTTGTACATACTGTGTATAAGTTTGTACACAATATGTTCAAGCATTATACTAACTGTGTATAAGTTTGTTTATATTGTTCAAACTTGTACACAATTTACAAACTTATATATAATATGTAAAATTATTATACACTATTTATATAATATTCTTACACAGTGTGTATAATACTTGTATATAGTGTGTACAATGCTTGTACACATTGTGTACAAACTTGTATACAATTTATACAATCTTATATGTAATGTGTATAATGCATGTACACAATGTGTACATACTTATACACAAGGGGTACAAACTTATACACAATGTGTACAATGCTTAGTATATAATGTGTAAAAGCATTGTAAACATTGTATACAAACATTATACATATTGTGAACAAGCATTATACACATTATATATAAGATTATACACACTATGTACAAGTTTGTACGGCACAATGCCTAAACCCTAAATTTTCAAAACTTTGGGGATTCACTTTCCAAACCCAAACCATGGTTTATTCATGCCCAAAACACATCATAAAACTTCTAATTACACATTAAATCAACTTCAGGTTGACACTTAACTTAATTAATCTTAATTACCTGAATTTCCAATTGATGGGTATTATAGGTATTCACCTTCCTTTTCTCCTAAAGGTTGTTGATATCTGAACTTTTTTAGTCTTGATTTATGAACTAGTATTTTGTTAAATAACCTTGCTTCTTTAAGATCAGCTTTAGCTTGATATTCACCTTCCTCTCCTTTTGAAGGTTATTGACATCTTAACTTTTTAAGGCTTGATTTAGACTTCGTTTGGAACGACTTTTTTTATTGCTTTTAAAAAAATACTTTTTAGTATAAAAATCTATTAAAAGTAAGAGAAAAAATGGTCTAAAATTATATCAAATGAAGCCTTAGTATTAATGGATGTAAAATTCAATGGTGAACATCATCTCATTTATCATAATGTTGAGCAGGGGATTAAGTATAACTTGAACATGTTTTAGGATGTTTTTGTTATCAAAGAGCATAAGGACAAGACAATCTTATTTATTCCAAAATCATTGAATATGAAGGGTTCATAAAATATGGTGAAAGTTTCGAAAGAGTACTGCTTAAATTTTTGGAGTAGCCAAACTTTCTAGAGCCTTAATTAATATGCCAACATAAGACAAATTCACCATAATTTTCATCTGACAAGATAGCACAATTTCAGAGAACTAAGTTGTTCACGAAAGACATAAGGGCTATTTATGCCAAAGATCTCCAAAGGAGAGGGAGAGAGAGAAATAAGAGCATCTACAAAATGAAACAATTTATTATTCCAGTTTGGCTTTTTATGGATTGAAAAAAAATAAGACTTTGTTTGATACACCTTTCTTATTATTTTATTTTTCAAATTATAATAATAAATTTTATTTAACCTCTACTTTTTCATTACTTTAAAAAAAATTTATATTAAAAAATAATTAAAAAATATCGCAAATGAAATCTAAAACCCTTCCGTATTACCTTTACAATTTTTTTTATTCCCTTCCACAAATTCATACAAAAGGCGAAGTGAATTTTACAATCGTGAAATTGGATCATTAGCTTATCAGTACAGTTGACCAACCAATAATATTTTCCAAGAATAAAAGGCAAAGAATGGGAGAAAATATATGCATCAACATCTTATAAAGGAGCTAAAGCCTAATTTAATTCAAAAGCACTCATTTTGTTAAAATGCTTCCCTAAATATTGAGACAAACACCATTAAGCGACCTTCAGAGTTCTAGTTAGTTCGGTTAGTAATGTGATCTAATTAGTTAGAAGTATAGAGAACGAACTATATATTAGCCACTTGGTGTTATATTACAAGGCTTTATATTACAGAATGTTAGTAATGAAAAGAGAGACATAAAATATTAAGTATTGCAGAAATGAAAATGCTCAAATGGATGAAAAACTCTACTCTTACAAACATAATGCAAAACAAAACAAACAGATACGAGAAAAAGGTTGGAGTAGTTCCAATCCGCACTAACATATAAGATTAGTCACTTTAGATGGTTTGGTCACATCAAATGTCGGCTTTCCAATGGCCTGGTTAAGAGAATAATGACCCAGTTATGAGAATGAATGTATTGAATTTGACATATTTTAAGAAAGATACAGAAATATCTAAAAAAACTTCATAAAAAATATTTAAAATTACATATTTTTTATTAGATTTAAATGAGAATTTAACTCTTAAAAAGACAAAAAAAAAAAAAAAAAAACCAACTCCAAAGTGGGATAAAAACTAGATGTTGTTATTTGTTGTTGGTGGTGTTATATTATAAGGAACAACAACAAATTGACGGGAAAAAGTCAGTAAGTAACCCAATGGCTGTAGTTGCAATGTATGATTGGGAAGAAAAAGGAAGCCATGCATTTTAATTGCATATTTGATTCAGCTACTCAATGCAGAAGTACCCAGTGATGACTTATCCAAAATTAAAACGAAAATTAATCAACAATCTATTATATAATTATGCAATTCAAATAGGCAACTTAGTGCTGGAATATAAAAACAGCATGCGATGGAAAATATCAGACAAAAAAAATCACAAAATTAAGTGAAAAAATAAAACTTGTGAAACTTTCCAGCGGCAATTACTTATCTTGAAACAATTAGATCTTTAATTAAGGGATTAAAAAAACATAGGAATAATAGGTTATAACATGAATTTATATGAAGCTGGATAATCAGTTCCCCAAAGCTTAAGAAAAGGGTATCTTTCTTCACAAGAGAAACATACAAGTTTGTACAAGAAGCTCTGCTGCTCAAGATAAACCTCATACGAGAGGAAATGAGATTTCCAAAATATCCTTTTTCGATTAACAGCTATTAATACATGTTGTAAGTTTTTATTCGAGAAAAATAACATCATCATACTTTTACTTGAAACTCAAAGAATTAGAATCAAATCGCTATCATGCAAAAGTTAGTATTGAATGACACCGGAAACACAATAACATAGTTACTTAGCCACCGCTTATCGGTGGAATGATTGCTAACTCATCTCCATTCTTCAAAATAATAGAGTCTGGAGCATATTCTTCATTAAGTGCAAAAACGATGGAGTTGCAGATTTCCTCTAGCCTAGGAAACTTGGTTAAGAGAATTTTTAAACAATCTCCAGCCGAACTACTAGGAGGCACTTGCAGAGATATATCAGGTAACCCAGTAATCTCCCGAGCTTTGGCAAAGAACAAAACCTCAATCTTGACTGAAGGTTCAGAATTCATCCCTGCAACGCCAACCAGATTATGTTCCCCAAAAAATTCACCAGGGCAATTCTCAGCAGAAAAATCTGGAACCAGACATTTTATGATGAAAATAAAAATAACTGCATCTCTGAATTCAAAATGATAAACTCTAATAAAGTGTGCTAGTCACAAAGCTGGAGGCAACAACTTTCTATAGAAAATCTCTAGGGAAAATAAAGGATGACGAGGTAAGAGAAATATAGCACAAAAGAAACAAATTTATACCTTGCGTTTCTTTCTCCATAAACACTGACCCAATCCTCGCAGCTTTTGTTGAAAAGGAAAGCCAATGAGTAGGATCAGAAGGCGGATGGCGCTTTGTTCTATCCTTTTATAAACTATAAATCATATAAATAAGAAATCTACAGTAAGGAAGAATACCTCCAAAACTTATACATGCATGATTAAAAAATGAAATAGACCTACAATTCAAAAAGCAAAAAGAAGCAATAAAAAATAGAATGTCATAAAGAAGTATATAATGAACCATTGTATAGAAATAGGAATAATTAATATAACTTAATTCATTGTAAAATATTCAAGAAGAAACAAAAGAAACATTAAAATTATGATGACTTGTATTTTTCTACTTTATCTCACATCTGGAAGTCATGGCCTTAAGTTGTCTCAACTATAAGTTAAAATATAAAAGGCAAAACATTGGTTTCATTCCCTTTCTCTTCACCCATCCATATGTGCCATCACATCCTTCAAATCGCTGACAGAATATTCACACTATTTACGCATCAAATATATATTTTTCCATGTTAAGTCACAGCACACCACATATCAAACCCTACATATAAAAAAGTTAATTGTAAAAATATGATTTTTTTTTTAGATTCTTCTTCATCAATATTATAAAGAAATGCCAAATTTCATTATTGAACTTTGTAAACCAAACGAAACTACAGTTTTCACATATTTTATTTCTTGTTTCTTTTTGTTCATTACTGATAGGAGGTAACTTTGCCTAACCATCCAGAAATACAATATAGTACACTAAAAATAAAAGGGATCATTTTGCTTATTCCTTCAAATAACAATAAAAATGCTACTTACATTAAATAAATGTTCCTTCATGCACTATATAGATGGCGATCCTGAAGCATGTCATAGCAAACCTTAGTTAATTTTCTCTCATATAACTGTTAATTTACAACAGGCTAGACATGATCATGGTGCGATGAGGCAGGTCATTATTCTTCACAGTTTCTGAAGAAGCCTATATTCAAATTCAAGATACACACATGGTGCGATGAGGCAGGTCATTCTTCACAGTTTCTGAAGAAGCCTATATTCAAATTCAAGATATACATGCATATCAGATTTCAATAATTTCAATGATCATTTGGTATGTGAAAAAATACAAAGTTGATCAAACAAAATACACAAGTCATTTTAAAGTTTAATTTCAACTATATATTTCAACAATCAAAATTATCTAATACATGTAATATATTACCAACAATCATATATTTTATCCCAAGTCATTTAGCAATCTCTAAACTTCCAATGCAATTGAAAACATTTTGTTACAAAATTTTTACTGCATTTCTTTGACGATCAAGTGATCATAAAATTATTGATGACACTTGTTTTGAATATGTCAAACCGAATGGATGGTTTTGATCTTGCATTTAACAGTCATAGATATCTAAATCTAATTACAAGACTAGAAGTGGGAAGAGAACAATGCAAAAGTGTAGAGAAGCAAACAGAGAGAGAGAGTGAGAGAGAAAAGAGATTAGTACTTATTTCTCCCAATTTTCTCCCAATTTTCTTAGTGGATTTTTTGGTGTGATGTGGCTCCATGATTTTTTCACTATTTTGAGTTTTTCCACGGTAAATCCTTGTGTCTTATACTTTCCATTGCTTTTCTATTTTTTCATGTTTGTTTCACTACAGTGTTTTACTTCCATCCCTAACAACTGGTACAAGAGCAAGGTTGTTCAGTTTGAGTGGAAGCAATGGCAGACAAAGCAATGTATAAGATTGAGAAGTTCAATGGCTAAAACTTCGCATTCTGGAGGATGCAAATTGAAGATTTGTTGTACCAAAATAATTTATATTTACCGTTGGAAGGAATCATCAAGAATCCATATACTATGACTATGGAGGAGTGGGAGGTTCTTGACGTCAGACTGAACCAAGTTTGATACGACTTTCACTTTCCTTATATGTTGCATTCAACATTGTAAATGGGAAGGCTACAATCGTTCTCATGGCCGCACTGACAAAGATATATGAGAAGTCATCGGCTTCAAACAAAGTGTTCTTGATGAAGAAGTTATTCAGCATGACGATGTTGGAAAGTACTCTAATGGCAGAGCACCTAAATAATTTGAACATTGTGATGAGTTCATCCGCAAACATAGATATACCCACAATAGGTTATCTACGAATAGATGCATAAGTTCCCACAAGCAAAGGAGAACGACATGTGACAAATGCGAATGTCTACAAACTATGGCAATTGATGTGGTTTGTCTGAGAATAACAACAACTAAAGTGTTGTGAGTACAGAAGATCACAGGAGGATACAAATGCATATAGTATCTACAAACAAGAACCAAAGGCCCGTAGAGAATATAAATACCTACAGGCAAATGTAGGAGCTCATCATGCATATAATAGCTAACCTACAAGTTAAAGAGAGGGTGGCAGAAGTCTTGTGATACATGCGGAGTTCCCATCTACCAACAATTGGGGTGAATACATCACAAATGTGATGAGTCCTTTATGAATGCATGTACATACATGTGACATATCATCCATGGATAGAGACAACATATCTTCATTATGTAAAAGTACCTACGAGCTATGGTAGCCCAAGGACAATATACCAACAACATGCATATACCAGGTACATATGAGCCATTACGGCATCCTCACATGTGACATGCATATGATAACAGTTAAATACACCAACCTTTATACAAATAAAGGGGACATATCTATGGCAAATACAAGCTCCTACAAGTTGTGGTAGGAGGCTCGTCATATACATTAGATGTCATATACGAGCAAAATTCAAAAGGATTATAGCAAATACACATTCCTATGACTCAATGTAGGAAACTCGCCGTACACATAACACATTATCTACAGGCAAAGGTTAAGAGACTGACAAATTCAAGTTTCCACAGGCTGTCGTAGTACATTCTCCAGATTTCCAAAATGCTCCCGCACATGCACCATAGTTTGTATACACATAGGTACACAAAAGGGATAAGTGCAATCATAAAACCTGCATGGGCCCCGACAAGCGTGCTATGGGAACACATAAGACGTCTGGGGATGCTGCGCGGGTCAATAAATCTGAACCCAATCCTCCTAAGATGCTAAATAGGACTCGACAAGGTTCAAAAAATAATTATAAAATGCACCAAAACAACCGCATGGGTCAAGACAAGCGTGTTATGGGTACACACATGACATCTGGGGATGCTGTGCGAGTCAATAAATTTGAATCTGATCATTCTAAGTAGGTAGGTAGGAGTCGACAATGTTCAGTAAATAATTATAAAATGATCCCAAATACCCGCATGGGCCTCGACGAACGTGTCTTGGATACACATGTGACGTCTAAAAATGCTGCGTGGGTCAATAAATGAACGCAGTTCGAGACCGATCCTTCTATATGAATAGATATGAGTCGACACGGCTCGAATTATCAAACAAATATACGGTCAGGATGTTGACCGGAATATCTATTTTATACGTTCATATAAGGCCTTCAAGGCCCATGAAAAAAGAAATTTTATACGTTCAAGGTTCAAAGCCTAGATGATACGATCCTCTGTCGACCGCTAGAAAAATTCTAGGGGTGTCAATATTTGACACGACACGAAAACCCGACCCGGAGTTTGACCCGTTTGAACCCGGGTCAGTTCCGGGTTCCACCCGAACCCGACCCGTGACCCGAAATTGACACCCCTAACAAATTCGACAGGGTTCAATCAACAAATGGAAATGACCCCTAGTCACCCCGATAAGAGTCGTGTTGAACGTATATCTCAATTCTAAAACTTCAAATGCCTCCCAAAACCCGAAAATCTAAAAATCCAGAAAATCTAAAAAAATTCAAATATTTAAAATTGAAATAATCCATTATAACTTAAAATAAATTCCATCAACCATTCACAACAGTTTGCCGAGGTGGATATTAAAATTTACTTCAGCTTACATAGAACTAATGCACAGTCAAAAATATCACTAGGAATAGACATGTCAACATTGGACCCGACCCGAAAATTTCGATTTTGGGTTGACCCGAACCCGAAGCGGGTCAGGTTCGGGTCCTGAACCCGTTTGCAAAACCGGGTCGGGTTCGGGTTGACCCGGGAACCTGGGAATGGCCCGAACTGACCCGGAAACCCAGCTGCCCCACTCCAGCTACCCCGCTGCCCTACTGCACCGCCCTGCCCTCGCGTCGCGTCACCGTTGCTCGTCCTCACGTGCCACGTTCTAACTTGAGTCACGTCGCTGCCTCGCCGGCACCACCACTGCTGTACCCTACCAGCCTGCCGCTGCTGCACCCTTCCGCCACTCCAACCTTTCGAAACTCAAAAAAATCAACCCGAAGCGGGTCGGGTTGAGTTTACCCGAACCCGAAGCGGGTCGGGTCCAAAAAATTGACCCGTTCGTTTTCGTGTTGACCCAAACCCGAATAGTGCCAAGTCAGTTCCGGGTTCGACCCGAACCCGACCTATGACCCGAAATTGACAGGTCTAACTAGGATTCATTCTCAAACAATCTCCTACTAATAAGGATGTGATACATGTCCTCTGAATGACAGTTTTGTCGCCAAATAGCACCGCAGGATAAACATATATGACACGGGGACCTCTAAACCGAGTGGTTTTGCCGCCAAATGGCACCACGGGACATTGATTATGACCAGAGCCAATACGCTCCTTAGTGACATTAAATCCTTGTGATATTAATTAATATGATATGATTGATAAGGCACAAAGCCATATGTTAGCTAAGATAGATTCAAATTTGTCCCCTTAGACAAACATTCAACCCAAGTCTACAAGGTACCCTTGGACGAAGCAACCCATAGTTGCCGACAAGAATACTTCTGTCAGGTTGGGTCGACTACCTCCTCTGACTAAGTAGATCAGGGACCACGATGGCCCCGGAATCCAGGATGACGGAACCATGGGATCTTGATCGGGTTCATCATCCATTTACTCATCATCCGTTTTAAGCGTAAGATGGTGAAATTCCCAATTTTAAATATCAAACATTTCCAAATACCCAAGGCCCATGCTACTATTATATGCTAGATACTATGTATCCGATTGATGACTAGCTTTAATCGAAAGTTCTCTCTCGTTATCTGGAGGGGTAATTAACTATAGGGGCTTGCGCCTATAGGCAACCATAACTCAGATTATAAAGTCCTCGCGAAATAAGGGCAAAATCTCTAAGTAGTGTCTTATCTACAAACTCATTTGTCTTCCCAAAATTTATCCCGGAACTTAAATCCGTTAAAACTCTCTCAAAGAAAAAGCACAACGAATGGAGGCCAGTTTTTCAAACATGTAAGATAAAATCTCACATATTATTTTCAATAAAGATGCCTTCAATAAGGCATTTCAAGCATATCAATTTAAATACCCTTCTATTTCATCATAGAATGCCCTAGGTGACAATTATGAGATTCTGTAGCCCTTACTATTTATACTTTTTTTTAAAGGTAGAAATGGGCAAGATTCAACCTTCAAAGACAATCCATCAAAGAAATCAGGTATGGAGGGTTTTCTATTGCTTCAATCCTCCAAAAAGAATCCCAAAGGTCCACATATTATGGAGAAAAAGGAAAAAATCTTTCATGGACATTTATAAGCGGCCATTTTAATCCCAGACTATTTTAAGTGCCAAATTTAGTTCATTAGTTCCTCAAATAAGATCCAAATTAACCTCAAAGTTACAATCATAATTTAATTTGACAAAAATTTCATACAAAGTTCACAAAAAAGACATAAAATGTGACTTTGCATGAAATTTACATCAAACTACACAATAATTCTAACTTTTAAACTATTTTAGATCATCTTTGAGGATTCAATGGACTAAATTGAACATTTTAAATAGTTTAAGACTAAAAGGACCCCCCAAAAATTATTTTTACCACTTTCTCATAGGTCACATAACAAATTACTCCAGTACGAGGAGAATGGTGGTAATGCTTTCTTGCAAATCTGGAAAGCAATGATAAGATATTCGCAATAAAAAATACTGCAATAATGAGCACATTAAGCTAGATCATATAATATTCACAAGCAATAAACTTTTTTTTTTTTGCAGTGATTTAAAAAGACTATTGAACACAGATGAATATTCTACAGTTCAAGAGAGATTCCTGTAAAAAGGCCAAGATTTAACAAGCTAAGATTATACACAATTAGAAAAACATAAAAGATTAAGAGCTTTCTTTTTTAAATGGCTCACAAAGTGGAAAAATGCATTTGCATATAATAAGTATTCTAAAAAAAAATGTTCATAAATTCAAACTAAAATCACTAATACAATCGAAAACAGCGAAACCATTAATAATATAAGATCTTAGGTACACTTGTATAGAAGTACACGATATGCTTGTAAATCCAAATAAGCTTATTTAAAAGAATAGAATAATAAACTTAGTGATTTCAAGCACGAGTGCTTCCTAGAAAGATAAAGAGCTGTCATTAATTGCTGCAAGGGTAATGTTAAAGATGAGTGCTTGAATTTACTCATAAATGAAAGCATCTTGCAAAAAAAAGCTATATAATCAAATAGTAGAGTAAGCAATAGCCAAGAGAAGCAACATGCAACAACAAAAAAGAAATATATACAATTATTGTGTATTACTTCTATGCTAATTTCCAAGCTTTTTCATGTCCAAAAGAGTTGAATAAAAGCATTTTTTTACATCAATCTCTTCACCTACCAAAAAATAGATTACTTTAGAGTGTTTGAGTTCATTTGTATTGAGAAACAATTTGGGAGTGGGTTAATTTGAGGTTGTTTGGACAGCTTTAGTGGGAGGATTAGAAATATTCTTTTGGGGATAAACTCTTTGTTGTCTTGGGTTAGGTTGTAAGCATTTTTCTCACCATTGTGAATAATCTTATGATCATATTGCCAAAGTTGACCTAATAAAATATGACATACTTCGAGTGGCATGATGTCACATAATACTTGGCCTTTATAAAATTTTCTGATTGTGAGGTTGACAAGGCATTTGTTGGGTGATTGGTATCTCTCCTTCCTTAAACCATGATATCTTGTAAGTCTTGGCAAGGGGTTTTAATTTTAATTTAAGTTTATCCACCATGAGTTGCGACACAAAATTTCCTGAGCTACCACTATCAATCATGAGGGTATATAATTTTCCTCCTACAGTACAAGTGGTTTGAAAGATGTTTCATCAAAGCAATTTATCTCCGGCATCAGTTTGGAATTCAAGACTCAATGAATAACTAAGTAATGATCCCCTTGCTCACCTTTAACATTAATTGGTTCCGACTCTTCCGCATTTTCTTGTTCAGACTCATCATCTTCTGAATTTTCAAGGTTATGCTCTTGTTCAATGTAATTGATTTTAGGGGGGTTATTTTTTCTGCAGGCTGCTGATAGGTGACCATACAAGCCACACTTATAGCAGGGTCCAATTGAATTTGCTCACATTAACTATTTTCCCTATTCATTTTGTTTGTGGATTTGGATTTGATGAGATTGACCCAATGACTCATTGTGAATTTTGAGCTTTACTTCCTAGAGATTGCTTAGGTTTGGTTGAATAAAAAATTTTACTGTTGTTTCGTTGTTGTTGTTTTTCAATTTTCAAAGCATGCGATAGGCCTCATCGAGTTTGATTACATGATGAAGGTTTAGTTGATCTTTGATTGACCACTTTAGTCAATTAATGTAATGAGTTATCATTCGTTCTTTAGTTTCATTTAAATCATTTCTGGATTGTTGTTTAGAAAATTCTTCAATGCACTCTTCTATGAGTCGGGTTCCTTGGTGAAGATTATTGTATTCTTGGAATAAGGTTGGAGCATGGTCAGAAGGTGAAAATTTTTCCCACATTTTTTTCTTTCATTCTATCTCAGTTTTGAATTTTTTTACCTCTCCTTACTCTATTATTTTGAAGATTTTTCCACCAAGTTAACGCATGATCAATAAGTTTTAAAGTAACAAACCTAACTTTTTTATTTTCGGAGATTTCTTTTCATTGAAAAAAAAGATCCACTTTCTCTATGTATTCAAGAAACTGTTCAGACTATAATTTACCTTCAAATTCATTGACGTTGATTTTAATCTCGTGATCCCACTCTATTATTTCTATTTTCATTTTGTGATGCTTCATCTTCATTTTCATTGTTTTGGGTATTAGCATTGTTTAGATTTAGTGTAGCCAAAGTATTAGATATTACTTCCATCTGTTGTTGTAAGTTAGCCATCTATTGAATTATCATATGTTGTTAATAAGCTTGTTGATAATTTTATTTATCCATTTTTTTTTAAAAAGAAAGGAATACTTGCCTTACAACCTAAGCTAGTATAAAGATCTTATAGAGCCTATATAAAAAATAACTAGTATAAAATTCATGTTGGTTCATAAACTTGCTTACATCCCTATCATTCAAATTTTAAACAAAAAATAAAATGAAAATGTTGATAAAACTAATAAGAAAAATAACCAATCCAATAACATATATACAAGGTACAATAACATTATAAAGTAAGCTAATATGGTTTTGAAATTTTTCCTTAATCCCTAATAAGATTTTATGTGAATAACAATTTTCGAAGTTCAAATAAGAAAAGTTCAAAAATTTTAAAATTAATTTTAGGAATAAAAGGTCTCCTATACAATGGTTGATTGCTCCTATACGATTCTAATAACACCAAAACTCTTTGATCCTAATTTGAAGGCACTTTGATAACATAAACTCAACCTTTTCATTTAGATACTCAAACAACTAATCGTATATGTTTGCATTTTTCTTTCTATGATATTTGTTAAAGCACTTATCAATATATGATAGAGAATATTGATAGAAAGGGTTTAACACGTCCATCTACATAAATGAAGGTACTATCACCAATCCCACCTTCCCTTTCATCATGTGGGTGTCTAACTTATATGATAAAATTTTTGATAGTTATTACTGATGTTCTGAACTAAAATCCTAACACTCAAATTTTCTCAAAAAGAAAAAACTTACACCTTATCAAAATAAATCAACAATACCTGAAAGTTCTTAGCCTTTATATCCATTTAGCCATGAAATTGCTTCATTGTAGGGTATCACTTTGCTGCAATGCAAATGAGAACTCTCGAATTGCACTAACATTTGATGACCTATAATTATAACAAGCCATCAAAGCAAATACAACATGTTGTTTGGTATCGTATCTTAGGTAGGATTTAAGCTGAATATAGCTTATATCCTATAATATAGAATTTTGGAGACTGTAAATCATATTGTTTAAATAAATCTTATTTTAGCCCTATTATTGATTAAATCCAGGTTTTCTTAGATGCCAACATTTAAAGGATTTAACCAATCATGTATCTTGAATATTGAAACAAATAACCAAATAGTAAATAAGGCCATGGCAAAATTTAACAGTTGTGATGCAAAAAGATTTTAAAACTTTCATGCTTTACTAATTCTGGATTTACTTAATGACATCAAAACGAACAAGGAAAATAATAGCAGTAATAAAAATGGAAGTTCGAAAGAACAACAGCAAACTAACAATCGTGTTACAACAGTAACTAGCAAACTAATTTTGTCTAAAGGAGAAGCAACACTCGGTGGTTGTTTGTCTGCAAGTAGGATTTAGTAAATCCGGATTTCTTAAATCCTGACAGAGATTATATCCAGTTAAATTATGATCAACTGTATAACTGTTTATTTCAGTATTTAAATATCTCGGCTCACATAAGTCTTTAATAATAATTATTGATGACGAAATTAAAATATGTCCCACAACTGCAACGAGATTAATTAAATCATACTTGATCCCGATGATTTAAGGCTGTTTGGCGGCAGGTTTTGAGCAGATCTTAAGCAAAATGTAACTCAAATATTGCCGAAAAGTATTAAAAAAAAGAAGAAGAAGAGGAACTCAAATCCTTTAAGAAAATCTAATCCCGTTTCTCACCCGCTTTACCTTTAATCCCAAGTTTACTAAATCCGGGCATTCGCCAGTTTTAGCCACAATCCACAGCGACTCGCAAACTCCTATCCTCCTTCACACGCCTCCAGCCCTTTCGATGGCTTCTCCAGCCAACTCCCGTCGCTACTCCATCGCTTCTTTGCCGTCGAGGGTTACTGGTGTTGGATTACGGGCGAAGAGAAAGGCGAGGGTTTAGGTTGTTGGCGTCTAGCAGTAATTATATTATTCTTTAATTTGCAATTTAATTTTTTTAATAAAAATTTTGATGCATTTTTTATTAATTAATAATGATGTCAATTAAACAGGACATGTTAATTAAATTAGTTAAGATAATTTAATATTAGTCAATATTTATTTAAATTAAATTAAATTATTTTATTTAATTAATTTTAAAATTTATTAATTATAATTTGAGATGTATATTATGCTTGTATTTTTTTTTTGAACAGCGAGAATGTTAATTTAAATTTTAAATTTGGCTAAATAATTATATTAAGTTATTATAAAGTTAGTAACGTAAACAAATTAATATTATTTTTAATTTAGTTTGACTGAATGAAAATTATTATATACAATTAGCTAATTAGCCTAATAAATTACTAATTAATTATTAACTGAAATAATATCTAGAACTAATTATATTTAATTATTCTAATTTGAAATTATATAGACCAAATAAATATAACAAAATCTCAAATTCATAATAATCATTAAATACAGAAACCCTAAACTAAATAAAATTTAATATCTATCATGTTTAAAATTTTCAAAATATAACCCTCACAAAATTTATTAAATCTAAATTCACAAGGTTTACTGAATACTCTAACGAAAAAATGATGCAAGGGAAATTCCACATGGATGAATTATCAGCTCATCAGTTCTTGAATAAGAAAATAACCAAAAAATTTAGATCATTCACATTTGCTTTAAAAACAGACTTTCTCGGAGAATAATTTTACAGATAAAGCCAATCCAAATGAATCTTTAGGATTTGTTTGGGACGGCTTTGTTGTTGCTCTTTAAGGAAATTTTTTAATATAAAAATATTAAAAAATTATCTTAAAAAATAATAAGAAAATCATCACAAACGAGATCATAGTTAACATAGGCATCAGATCTCAAAACAAGCACAATCAGCAACTTTACTGTGAATAAAAGAAAAGCAAATACTAAAGTATCAATATTGTTAATTTTAAAGGATAAATTAAAAAGAAATATATCTGAAAAGCAGACCGTAGCAAACAAATATTTACAAGGACATAACATTAGTTAGAAAAGCACAAACTAAAGAAAGACTTCTAAATTGTGCAATAAGAGGCGCGCCTCAAGGCGCACCTCTGCGCAATTTGACCCAAAACCGTCTCAAGGCTTACGCAATTCCTCTCCTGGCAGAGGCGTACGTCTCACTTAGACTGAGGCGCACCTCAGAGGCGCAATTGCGCAATTCTGGCAGAGGCGTACGCCTCAAATATATGCTCAATACCGCTCAATACATGCTCGTTACCGCTCAGTATATGCTCGATACTATTAGGTACATACATACTCAATACCGCTTAGTATATGCTCGGTACAGCTAGGTATTTGCTCGGTACTGCTTTCCGTTTCTTAACCGACCTGAACACAATAATCCTAA